TCATGGCTCTGCCGCTCACGTCCCTCTCCCCTCCAGCCTTTGTTCTCGCTCCTTAAAGGGGCCCCCAGCTCTAGCTCCACAGTCAGGCAGGCCCGCTGGAACCAGCCCGGGGCTTCTGTGGGTGCGGTGCCTCTCTGAGCCGCAGCTAGTGCAGAAAGGGGCCAGGGACAGCCCCACCTCCGCGGTTGCCCAGAGAATGCAACACAGGCCTGGGCTCAGAGCTGCCTCTGCGTCTGCTGCAGCCCTAACTCCCTGAACTTTTCCTCCCAGACCTCAGGCTGCTGTAGACGTTCCCCCCCCAAGTGGGGACTTTAGTGACTGTTGTTTTGGTGTCATAATTGGCACTTTTTAAAAGAGCGACAATAGTATTGTGCTTATTTAGGGGGGAAAAGCCTTTATCATTCAAGCCATGTCCCTGGGGCCTGTGTCTGCAAAGCTGGTGAACTAGGAATTGTTTTACATTTTGAAATGGTTGGGGGGCGGGTGCAGGGGATCAGAAGAGAACTGTGAACCTTCCCTGAAGTCCAGGCTGCAGCAGCCCTAAAAGTCTGGGCCCGGCCACGCCCGTTCGTTGACCTGTCGCCTGTGGCTGCTTTTGTGCGAGAGCAGCTGAGCCGAGCCCTTGCAGACAGAGACCCAGGGGTGCGCAAGGCCAACAGCGTCTGCTCTCCGGGCTTCACAGTAGACGTTCGCCGCTAGAGACACACGAAATGTTTGCAGGAAAATGACCTGAGTAGCTGAGATCTGCGTGAAACGATCCAGCGGGGAGTGGGGGGGGGGCTCGGACGAAGCGGGTTGGCTGTGAGTTGACAGCGTTGAGACCGGGTGATGGGATCGCGGTGTTCACGATACTGTTTGTCTGTTGCACACGTCTGATGTTTTCCAAAAATGGGGGCGGGGGGTGTCCAAGTGCCTGGCACAGAGGCAGCCCTGAGCCGAGGGGCACCGTGGCGGACCTATGGGCGCAGCTCCCGCTCCGGGTCCGCCCCTCTCAGCCCCTCCCTGGTGGGTGTCTTGCCCACAGACACGCTGCGGGAGTACCTGAAGGTGGTGATGGCCCTCAGGTACGAGGAGAAGCCCCCCTACGACTCGCTGAGGAGGGGCCTGCGCTCCCTGCTGCAGGATCTGCTGGTGTCGGCCTATGACCCCATCAACCTCCGGATGGCGCCCTAGGTGGGTTCCGGTGGGCAGAGCCTGTGAGCCTCCACCCCCACCCCACCCCCCACCCAGCCCTGAGTCCCAGGTGGCATTGGATGTTTAATCCAGGGCCAACTTCCCAGTTAGATGCTGCATTTCCCACGAGGTTGTTAAACTTTCCAAAGCTAAACCAGACTCGCTGGACCGTCTGGCAAGGCCGCGTGGACGCTCTATGGAGGGCCTCCCGGGTCCCCTCTCCTCAGGGCTGACTGCCTCCCCTCGGGCTCTCCAACGGAGTCGAGAACAAATGGGGCCGTTTGTCACTGTCTACAGACATTTTTTTTAAACTTTTTAAAATATGTTTTTGTAGATTTTACAGAGAAAGGGAGAGGGAGAGATAGAAACATCAATGATGAGAGAGAATCACTGATCGGCTGCCTCCTGCACACGCCCTGCTGTGGATGGAGCCCGCAACCCAGGCCTGTGTCCTGATCGGGAATCGATCCAGCGACCTCCTGGTTCATAGGTCAGCGCTCAACCACTGAGCCACGCTGTCCAGGCTCTGCAGACATTCTTGGTTGTCAGCACTGGGGAGAGGGTGCTCCTGGCATCTGGTGGGTGGAGGCTGGGGAGCCACTCAGCATCCGGCAGCGCACAGGCCGCCCCACCACACATCCCCGCCCTCAGGCAGCTGTGTCCGGGCTCAGGGAGCCAGGCCAAGTGCGTCCTCCCGGGCGGCCTGGCTCCTTCCGCCGCAGCCGTGGTCCTGCTGGCACTCTGGTTCCACTGCTGCTTCCCGCCTGCCCTGTCACTCACATCCCGGCCTCACAACACACGCACCAGATCCCACAGCCTACAGCTCTCCGCGGGGGCCTGGTCACAGCACCCCGAGAATGCAGGCTGTGCGTTGGTTTTTCCCGCAGGGTTACAGCTCTGGGCCTTCACCACACGCGCGCTCCGAAAGTGAAGGCGTGGCTTCCCGCCAGCTCCCCCGTCCCGGTCTCCCCAGCTTGGCAAATGGCTCTTCTGCCCCAGCTGCTCTGGCCTTTCCCCAGCTCCTTCCTCCTTCAGGCGCCCCAACGGGCAGTTGCTAAGTCCCGTCTAGGCCATTTCCTCCAGGTCTCTGCCTCGCCCTCGCCCAGGGGATCCCCCCTCTCCGCCCCCAGAGGTGAACTGTGCGGTCACTGGTCACAGTCACCCATGGGCGGTGAGCTCCGTGTGGGCGGGGCCATGTCTTTCTCGGGCATCTGTCTTTCCTGCACGTCGCTGGCCTGGCGCACGGAGACTCCACGCGTGTTTATCGAGTGGGCGACTCCAGTCTTCCCGCCGGTGCCGGCCTGTCGTACATGCCTCCTTCTGCCCAGAACGAGGGAAACTTTAAAACTTAAAACCTACAGCCCTTTCAGGGTCTCAGTTTCAGATGCACCGACTGGACTGTCGGCGCCTCTTACTCAACAGCGGTTTGGTCCCTTAGAAACGTAGTGCGGGTGCTCCTTAGGGAGCCAGTGGCCTGGGAGTGGCGGGTGCGCCTCTCCCCACCGGCTACAACCAGGAGTGTAACAGCTTCTCTCCGCTATGGCAACGCCTTGCCTTGGCCTGCGTGCCGACATCCTCTCCGTGCGGTGCCTCCCCACCTCCTCTCTGATCACTTCGCCTGTTTTCTGGCAGCCCCTGCGGCCCCTGGAGGGAAATGTGTGTAATTTGTAGTGTCCCCACCCCCTCCTCTAAGCTGTAAGCCCCGCGGGGGTGCTCCTTCCCTGTCCGTGGTGTTCCCCCCCCCCCCCCCCCCCCCCCCCCCCGCCCCAGGCCCAGGGAGCGCCCTGAATGCAGGAGACACTCACGGCCATTTCCACTGTCTTCCAGCACTTTCTTTCAACTCCCAGTTTGGAATCGGAAAAAAAATGGGAAGAAGAAATGTGAAACCCAGGCCTGCTGTAGATTAGCTTCTAGAAAGATCCCTCAGATGTGCATTCCTGCCGCTTCTGTAGGCGACGCTGCTGTCAGGCCCGATGGGCGGGAACTCGGTCGGCAGTTAGGCTCCAGGTAATGTGAGCGCCCTCCTTTGATGTCCCTTCCTCACGGCCGCCATCTCCGGCAGCCCAGCCGCTGGGGTGGAGAACAGAGAAGACCCTTCACTCAGGACGGGGTTGAGCCAGCCCCTCAGTGGGACCCTTCCTGCCACTGCAACCACTGTGCTTTGTAATAAATGGTTTCATTGGAGCTTGGAGAGTCGAGTGTCCACAAAAGGTGTTCCTTTTGGGAAAGGTTAGCTCCCTTTTTCTCCCCATTCACCCATCCCGTCAACCTCTCGTCCATCATCTACCCTTTCATTCATCTGTCCAGACTTCATGGAGCCGCCCCTCCATCCTTCCTTCCTTCCGTCCATCCATCCACACATCCATCCATCCATGTACAGATGTTCCTCAACTAACAGTGGAGCCACATCCCAGTAAACCTATTATAAGCTGAAAATATTGTAAGTTGAAAATGCACTTAATGGCCCTGTCTGGGTAGTTCAGTGGTTAGAGTGTCTCCTGATATACCAAGGTTTCGGTTTTAATCCCTGGTCTGGGCACATACAGGAATCGACCAGTGAATGCATAAATAAGTGGAACAACAGACCTCTCTCTTTCTCTCCCTCCTCTCTCTCTAAAATCAATCAATAAAAACATTTTAAAATGTACTTACTGGACTCAGACACAGACCTAAACCTTCCATAAAAATTAACTCAAATGCAAAACTAAAAAACTTCTGGAAGAAAAGATAGAAGAAAAATCTATTTGGCTTTGGGTTTGGTAAAAAGAGAGAACCAACCTGCGTGGCTCAGCGGTTGAGCGTCAATCCATGAACCAAGAGGTCAAGGTTATTTCCAGTCAGGGCACATCCCTCGGTTGCTGGCTTGATCCCAAGTGTGGGGCGTGCAGGAGGCTGCCGATCAATGATTATCTCTCATCATTGATGTTTCTGTGTCTCTCCCTCTCCCTTCCTCTCTGAGATCAATAAAAACATATTAGAAAGAGAGAGGTTCCGTAGTCCTGAAGCAAGGCAAAGCAGACTGTGCGTGAAAGATGGAATCACAACACATGGAATCTGAAGAGCAGTTTTCCGCACAAAGTTGTTAACGTTATGCCAACGCCTGTTCGCTGTGTTGGCGCATCGTGCCCGTGTTGAGCGTGTTTCCTCATTAATGGAACCATGGGGGGAACGAAGTGGACGCTCAGCGGAAAAGAGATCAGTTGAATGTGAGCACTTAAAAAATAATCACCAAGTAAATGGAACACAGACTGTGGCGGCAAGGCACTTTATAAGCAAATTCCGCCAAAAGAAACTGTTGAGAACCAAAGCCTGAGGGACATGTAATTAAAGAAAGAGGCATGTGATGCGATAAACTACCATTCAGTTCAGATAATCAGTGAATGAGTTTGTGTGAAATACACAGATTGGGCTTCCAGGAGGCAGACTCCGAGAGGCCCATGTGCCGAGGTGGTGCCCCAGGGGCGGTCCCTGAGGAGGGGAGGGGAGGGAGGCAGAGGGAGAGCTGAGCTGCAGTGCAGCCCAGTGACAGCCTCATGCAGGCCTTCAGGGTGTCCCGGAGCTGGAACAGCCCTGCGGAGGGGGCCCCGTCTGGGCCAGGAGGCCGGACCCTTATTCCGGTGGGCTTCCCTGGGAAGAGGTGTGGCATCCGTGTGGTGCTCTGTGTGTGTGAGCACGCGCGCCTGCCTGGAGCTTTACCTAACTATTGCCGCGACGCCCCACAACAACCACTCAAGTTAGGTGTTTTTAAAAAATATATTTTAATTGATTTCAGAGAGGAAGGAAGGGGGGGGGGGTTGAAACATCCATGATGAGACAGAATCATTGATCGGCTGCCTCCTACACGCCCCACACTGGGGATGGAGCTCACAACCCCGGCATGTGCCCTGACTGGGAATCGAACCGTGACCACCTGATTCACGCTCAGCTAGTGAGCCACATCGGCCAGGGTCCAGCTAGGTTACTGTGTCTGTGTTACAGAGGGGAGACTGAGAAGCAGAGTGACTTGCTCAGACTCATGCTCGTAGTTGGAGACGGGCTGAAATTTGAGGCCAGTTCTGCCCATCGTGGCACCAGTGGGACACCCGTGTCGTCAGCTCGTTCTTGGGAATTGTCCCTGATGTCTCCCCTCCCAGAGAAGCCCTGGGCCCTCCAGCCAGGGGTCGCTGGAGCTGGGGGCCCGTTAGGTGCGGATCTTGATCTCTGCATATTCGGTGCTGGAGGTGGCCTCCTGGTCGGGCCGTTCCCCCGGCCTCGGGCCCTGGAAGCTGAGGGTGGCATAATGGAGCTCCAGCTCCTCCCCGGAAGCGGGGGCGGCGGCAGCGGGGGGCGCAGCTGGGGGCGGGTGGTCTAGCTGGCTGCCTGGCCGACGCTCACGCTGGCAACCCTGAGTGGAGGGGGGAGAGGCAGTCACATTAGGGTGATGGGGGCTGGGAGTCAGCAAGGAGGGGCCACAAGCAAACCCGGAAACTGAGCAAATTAGTCTTTCATCTGTTCATTCCACAGCCATTGGCGGTGGCCCTTCCCCCGCATGCATTGAGTCAGCAGGTATTTTAGGGAAGTGATGCCTGGCCCTTGGTAACAGACTGCCAGCCGCCTAGATTCCTCACAAGAGTCCCCTAGGCCAGTGGTCGGCAAACTCATTGGTCCACAGAGCCAAATATCAACAGTACAAAATTTCTTTTGAGAGCCAAATTTTTTAAACTTAAACTATATAGGTACATTGTTATTAACCTAATTAGGGTGCTCCTAAGGCTTAGGAAGAGCCACACTCAAGAGGCCAAAGAGCCGCATGTGGCTCGCGAGCCGGTTTGCCGACCACGGCACTAGGGCAACGCTTAACTCTATTCTATTTGTCAGGTGGAGAAGCTGAGGCTAAATATCCCCAAATCCACACATTTAGTTGTTGGGAGGACCAGGACTCATGCCCGAGTCCCTCTGGCTTCAGTGCCTGCTGCCTTGTGGGACAGCGGCCCCTGTGCCGGGCCCTGGATGTTCACTGGGGAGCAAAGCAGACCCGCCCCGACCCGCCAGCTTGCAGTGGGGGGAGCAGACGTGCAGGCGGCAGGCGGTTATGTTGCTCTCACTGCACGTGGCAATAGGAGGCACAGGAATGGGGCGGTGGCACGAGAAGGACAGGAATTTGCTCAGGCCCAGACTGCCCTGCCCTCGGCGGCCACTCGGCATTTCAGGGGTGCAAGCAGGTGCATTCGTGAATTACGTCATGCACCCTACAAAGGATATTGTACAGTAAAGGGTGAACGCTGCCCGAGAAAAGCTTGACCCTGTGCCCCCAGCACCTGGGAGGGAACCTCTAAGCCTCGGGGGACCGTGGGCCACACCAGGCAGTTCGTGTGATGGGCGGCGGCCTTGGGCCACGGGGCGTTGGCTTGACCTCTGCAGGGATGGAAGCTGAGTCCAGCCACGTGACCGTCCCCCAACTAGAACTGGACATCAGGCTCGGGGAGCTCCCCCGGTGGGGTGCCCGTGCGTGTGGTCTCACGTCTTTGCTGGGAGACTAGGCACTGTCCTTGTGACTCCGCTGAGCCACCGCGGAAGCCCACGCCTCTCTCTCCTGGGCCCGCCCCCTGCGCCTCTTCCTGGGCCGATTCTGTCCCCGTCCGCCCGCTGTAATGAACCATGACCATGACTATGACAACTTCTCTGAGTCTGAGTCCCTCTGGGGAGTCATGAACAGGAGAGTGCCTCGGAGACCCCTAAACTTGTAGCTGACAGTTATTTGGGGGCGATCCTTCTGGCGTCCTGTATTGGGGAGGAGAGAGGGGAAGGAGGAGGAAGTGGGAGGGGGAGACAGGGAGGGCCCCCCTGGACCTGAACACACTCAGGAAGATGGGCAGGTCCTTGGCTCTGAGGGGAGACGGGAGCGGAGAGGAGGGTGACTCCTGGCCGCCTGCCTGGTGCCTGGATTGATGGGGACCCAGGAGGAAAGGCCTGCTTGGGGCTCGATCATCTTAAATCATCGGGGTGGATGTGGCCACGGTGTCCTGGGGAGATGGCAGAGGCATCCGATGGAAGGTGGGCATGACTCACCAAGGAGGCGGGACTCCGCGTGGAGGAGGCGGGACTCCGCGTGGAGGAGGCGGGACTCCGCGTGGAGGAGGCGGAACCCCGCGTGGAGGAGGCGGAACCCCGCGTGGAAGAGGCATCCTTCTCACCAGCTGCAGCCCGGGGTGAGGCCCTCCTGCGGGTCTTCACTCTGAAGGGGAGGCGGGGACCCCTGAGCAGCCTGCAGGGCGCAGAGCTCAGCGTGCGCGCCAAGGAGGCTAGAAGGGCTGACCTCAGCCGGACGCAGGGGACGTGCCTGCACTGACTTTTACGATGAGAACAGGCTCCCTTCTCGATGGGGATGGGATGGCCCTGTTCACAACCCCTGCACCACCCAGATCGCCCAGGCGGGCCGTGTGGGGTTCCAGGCCCAGCCTCCTGCTCTCCGGGGACGACACTCACATGAAGATGATGAGGCAGAGACCGAGCAACCCAACCACACCAGCTCCCGTGACAGCGCCCAGGACGAATGCTTCCCTGAGCGCGGGCTTCCCTGCGGACAAATGGGGTTTGGGGTGACTCCCCTACGCGCCCCAGAACCCTGTGCCCTTACTGGACTCTGCCCCCACCACCTCTTCCTTTCACCCCTTTCTTTCCTGACTCAGCCCCCCTCCCCAGCCCCACCCTCTCTCTTACCCACTCCTTCCTCCGTGGCCTCTGCGCCCAGCAGGCCCTGACCTGGCAGCAGCAGGACAGAGGCGCTCTGGGCCCCGTGCACATTCCAGGCCTCGCAGCTGAGTCTGAGGCCGGAGGTGAGTTCCCCGCGGAGGCTCAGGGAGCTGTTGGTCCAGGGCCCCTCTGAGCTGGAGCTGACAGCGTGGGAGGCGTTGCCATGGTTCCCCTCCAGCAGCCCGGCCCCCAGCCTCCAGCGCAGGGAGGGGGCCGGCTGGGCCCTGGAGGAGCAGCTGCAGTGCAGACCCTGGTCCTCCCAGGAGCAGGAGGGTCCCAGCAGCTGCGGGGGGTCTGTGGGGAGCGAGGAGTAGGGTTAGGGTTGCCTCTGCCCTCCCAGGACACCGTGACCCCCTCCCCCCCCCTGCCTCCACACACACTCACTCTGCACGCGGAGACGCAGGGAGGCGCGCAGGGAGCCCCGCGGGTGCTGAGCTCGGCAGGTGAATCTGCCTTGGTGCCGCGCCTCCACCCTGGGCAGCTCCAGGACCCCGGGCTCCTGGGGCTGTGAGGGGCTCAGGGACCGGTTGCCCTGGGCCCAGCTCAGCGTGGCGGGAGGGTTGCTGTCGGCGACACAGAGCAGGCGGAGCGAGTCCCCTTCCCGGACCGAGAGAGCCGAGCCGTTTCCCACGTGTTCCAGCTCTGGAGAGAGACGGAGCCCAGCGCAGGCCTCGGATCAGAAGTCTTCTTCCTATTTCTCTCTCCTCTCCTTTTTTTTTTTTTTTTTTAATCCTCACCCGAGTGTGTGTGTGTGTGTGTGTGTGTGTGTGTGTGTGTGTGTGTGTGTTTAAATACATTCTTATTGATTTCGGAGAGGAAGGGAGAGGGAGGGAGGAGGGAGGGCGGGAGGGAGAGAGAGAGACTTATCAATGATGAGAAAGAATCATTGATGGGCCGCCTCCTGCACGCCCCCTACTGGAAACGGAGCCCTCAACCCAGGCCTGTGCCCTGATATGGGAATCAAATCCTGACTTCCTGGTTCATAGGTCCACAGTTCAACCATTGAATCGAGACTGCCAGCCCGTGGATATGTTTTCACTGATTTTTGGGGAGAGGGTCGGGGAGAGTGAGAGAAACTTCCATGTGAGAGAGAAGCATCCCCCTTACCTGTGTGGCTTCCTCGGGAGGCGCGGATGGCCAGGTTCTGTGGTGCATCTGGACAGAGGGACACAGTGAGGAAGAGTCCCTTCCCCAGCCCCAGGACACACAGAAATGGGAAGTGGAGAGACCAGCGTCTGTGTCCTTCCTGCAGCCCGTCTCCCACCCCCACCCCCACCGGGCGTCCTGGCCGGACTCACAGGACACATTGAGCGTGATGGTCCTCTCGCTGCTCACATCAGCCCCGGGGAAGGTGACCCGGCAGGTGAGGTTGGTGCCATGGTCCTGCGGGCGGGGCTTGAACATGATCTCTGGGTACCTCAAGGCCGCAGAGCCCTGCGCCTGGAGACTGAGGGCATCAGCCCCGACCCAGGAGACGGTGCCAGGCCGCAGCGGAGCACAGGCCCCGGGCAGGGAGCACACCAGGTGACCCAGGCGACCGGCCTCCAGCGGCTTCTTGACGTGGATGTCCGGGGTCTGTGTCAGCGCTGGAGAGAGAGAGGGCGAGGCCAGGCCCAGAGGGGACCCCGTGTGTGCACCCCAACCCTGAACTGCTGCCCAGCCCGGTGGTCCACTCCTGGGACCGCTCCATACCTGTCACGGTCACGGTGAGCAGGTTGCTCTGATAGCTGTAGTTCACACGGCCCCTCTCCAGCCGAAAGTAATACTTTCCACTATCTCTGGGCGTCGCAGCTGAGATGCTCAGGGAGCAGTTGCCGGCCCCCAGGTCCCCGGAGAGGTCGAACGGAGAGGGAGATTTCACATTACTTTTTATTTTCTTGCCTTGGTTGTTTGTGGCCACGAGAACATCTCTTTTGCCAGGCTCCCTTTTCTGGTACCAGTAGCCGAACGCTGGGGTAGAGTCGTTCCAGCCCGCCCGAGGGTAGGACACCTTGCAGGGCACGTGCACGCACAGACCCGCCTGCACCGTCACCGAGTCCTGCACCTGCAGCTGGTACTCTGGATCCTTCTGCGGGGACCCTGGGGGGACAGCGGCTCAGCTGCAGCACCAGCCCCGCCCTGGCCCTGGCCCAGCCTGGCTTGGCCCCGCCCCGGCCCACTCACCTGCCCACAGCAGGGGCAGCAGCGGCAGCAGCAGCAGCAGCATGTCCAGACCCGGCTGGGCTGTCCTTGGGCTGTCTGGCTTCTGGAGCTGCCTGTCTGTCCTGGAAGGAAGCGCCAACAGGAACCTTCTGGAGGAGGGGGCCGTGGCCACGCAGAAGAGGAACCCCAGGAACTGCAAATGGCCTTGAAGATCCCCTCTTCGGACTTCTCCTTTCACAGATGAAAGTAATGAGGCAGAGAGAGAACGCGTGGCCACCCTGGGTCATTCTCAGGGAGGACAGTCCCAGGAGCGGGCTTTTGGGGGCAACAGGTGAGTCAGGCTCCAGGTGAGGTGCTGGAAGCGGGCATTCATTCATTCACTCATTCATTCATTCATTTGTCAGGGACACATCTATTCGATGCAGGAGCTGGAGGCAACGAGGACAGTATGACCTCCCAAACTCTGCCCTCAGGGGCCTCACCCTAGCGTGGCCCCAAAGCCATTGCCCCCCAGCCTCCCCAAGGACACGCAACTTCCTGCCTATCTCAGAGCCAAATCTTTAGTCCACACAGGGCTCCCAGCTCCACAGTGAGAAGCGGGGCCAGCGTGGCCAGCGTGACTCAGTGGTTGACTGTCGACCTATGAACCAGGAGGTCACGGTTCCCTTCCCAGTCTAGGCACAGCCCTGGTTGCGGGCTGGATCCCCACTAGGGGGCATGCAGGAGGCAGCAATCCTGGTACATGTTGTCTCACACAGACGCTTTGCACTGCCCTAAAACACCACAGATTGGGGCAAGGGGGCGTTAAACAACAGAAATTTATTTTCTCACAGTTCTGGAGGCTGCGAAGTCCAAGGTCAAGGATCAAGGGGCCACCTGGTGGGAGCCCACTTCCTGGCTTGCACACAGCCACCTTCTTGCTCCTCAGAGAGAACGCTGGTGTCTCTTATTTATTTATAAATACTTCAACCCACTCTTTTTAGAAAATTACTCTTTAAATATTTTATTGAGTTTAGAGAGGAAGTGTGTGTGTGTGTGTGAGAGAGAGAGAGAGAGAGAGAGAGAGAGAGAGAGAGAGAGAGAGAGAGGGAAACATTAATGTGAGAGAGAAACATTGATCAGTCGCCTCCCGTACACACCCCTACTAGGGATGGAGCCCACAACCCATGCATGTGCTCTGACCAGCAATTGAACCGGCAACCTTACACTGGGTGTGACGCTCAACCAACTGAGTCACATTGGCCAGGGCTTTTTTTTTTTTTTTTTTTGTAAATTATTGATTTGAGGAAGAGAGAGAGAAACATTGATTTGTTGTTCCACTTATGTATGCATTCACTGGTTGATTTTTGTAGGTGTCCTGACCGGGATAGAACCTCTGACTTCCATATATTGGGACAATGCTCTAATCAATTGAGCTACTTAGCCATGGCTGGTGTCTCTTCTTCTTTTTAAAAAAATATATTTTTATTGATTTCAGAGAGGAAGGAAGAGGAAGAGAGAGATAGAAACATCAATGATGAGAGAGAACCATTGATCGGATGTCTCCTGCACGCCCCCTACTGGGGATTGAGCCCACAACCGGGGCATGCACCTTTCACTGGAATTGAACCCAGGACCCTTCAGCCCGCAGGCCAATGCTCTATCCACTGAGCCAAACCTGCTAGGGCTGGTGGCTCTTCTTATAAGGACACTAATCTTGCCCTGGCCAGTGTCACTTCGTGGTTGAAGCATCGACCTCAGCACCAAAGGGTCACTGGTTTGATTTCATGTCAAGGGCACATACCTGGGTTGCAGATTCTATCCTCAGCCCCAATCAGGACACATGTGTCTCTCCCATTGATGTTTCTATCTCTCCCTCTCCCTCTCCCTTCCTCCCTTCCACTCTCTCTAAAAATCAATGGAAAAAAAAATATATCCTTGGGTGAGGATGAAAGAAAGAAAGAAAGAAAGAAAGAAAGAAAGAAAGGCGCTAATCTTGTGTATCAGGGGCCCCCCTTATGACCTCCTGTAACCTTAATGATCTCTAATGGCCCTGTCTCCAAACATAGCCACATTGGGGGTTAGGGGTTGAACATGTGAATCTGAGGTAGGGGAGCAACTCAGACATTGGGAGAATTTCAGCACTGCCCACGTGACTCCATCGGGAGCGACAACTGGAGGCTTGTACCTGCTCTGTCCTGGGCTGTGCCTGTACACCTTTTCCCTTTGCAGATTTAATCTGTATCCTTTTGCTGTGGAAAACCATGAGTATAATAGTTTCTCTTAATTCACTGAGTTCTTCTAGCCCTGAGTTTAACATGTTTGTACGTCTTAGGGGCTTCCAGAACAGACTGTTCCCCCTCTTCAGGCTCTGGTGCAGGAAACCACTATTTCCCTACGTGGGGGCAACAGCGCCCACCTGCCTGGGCCTGTCTGGATTGTGCAGACCAGGGCTCGGCGTCCTCGGGGCGCCCCCTGGTGGACTCATGCAGCAATCCGATCCCAAGGGCCCAGAGCTTGTCTGAGTTTGGAAAGTTCCTGACCAGGCAAATGGCCGAGTTGATCAAAATTCCTTAAAGGAAACGGGGAGGGTGCAATCCAGAACGGCACAGAAAAAAGCATCGGTTCCCTTCCATCTGTAACCAGTTCCCCATTTCTCAACCACTAGTCCCTCAAACTTATGGTGATATTACTTCTTTGTTGTCGTTAATCCTCACCCCAGGATAGTTCTTTTCCCCTTAATGACATTACTTTTTTAAAAAAAATACATTTTATTGATTTTTTACACAGAGGAAGGGAGAGGGATAGAGAGTTAGAAACATTGATGAGAGAGAAACATCGACCAGCTGCCTCCTGCACACCCACTACTGGGGATGTGCCCACAACCAAGGTACATGCCCTTGATCAGAATCGAACCTGGGACCCTTCACTCTGCAGGAGTACACTCTATCCACTGAGCCAAACCAGCCAGGGCCCATTCTTCCTCTTCATGCCCTGCTTCCTCCCCAGGCCCCCGCTTCTCCTTAACTGGCCTAACCGTCCCCCAAAACTACCCTCTCTGTACGTCACCCTTAGATTTTAATTCCTAGTGGTGGCCTGACAAGCTTGGTAGATCCCCTAAGACATGTAGCAATTCACTGGGGAACTTCCTCTTTTGGGGACATTTCAGCGGCAAATGCTACGTGGGATCTCAGCATTTTGCTGGCACAAGTTCAAAAGAATAAGGCAACCAGACGGGTGAGAGGAAAATCACAGAGATGAGCCCAGCCCAATCCCACCGCTTCTCCTGACTTTTCCTTCCCAAGGGGAACCCAGCCTTTCCAAAGCTCCTCCGGGTTAGGTGTCCTGCTGGCCTAAGGCTGGGGACCTGGGGCTTGTGAGTGGGGTCCTTGGCAGAGCTGAGCCCAGGTGTGCTCAGCACCACGGACAGCGCCAACCCTCTGCCAGGAGCTACCAGGTCTATGGATCGCCCCCTGGAGGCCGAGCCTTGCCCTGTCTCATGTGGAGGTAAGGCTGGGGAGTGAGGCTGGTGACATTCTCTCCTACAGGACAGAGCTGCAGCCAAACTCCTCCTCAGTGTCCCCCTGGGACCGCCCTCATCCTGGGGAAGAGGAGACGGCCTCAGAGACACAGTGCATTTCTGAGAGGTCACTGGGCCCCTTGCCCCTCAGGCTGACTCTACCCTCACCCCCTCCAGAAAACCTGTCAGACTCCTGCCCTGCCCTTACTACCTCCCCATTAGTTTGCTTTTAAACCCTTCCTTGTGCTGTCAAGAAGCTCAGGACAACTCAAAACATAATCAAAAGGTGAGCCTTTTCTGTGCCTGGCACTGTGCCGAGTCCACTTCGTCAGCTCAAATGAAGAAATGAAGTATCAGAAGTTGGGTTGAGATACTGTATTTGGAGCTGGTAAGTCACACAAATAAATTCTAAGTTTTAATTTATTCTACATAAAGGTTAACTATTGAGATTGGGGAAAGGATCCTGTGGCCTTAGTGGACCACAGCATGGAGACAGTTGTCCTTAAGAGCAGAGCAAGCCAGGCCAAGGAGAAAAAAAAAAACAAGCAAACTAGGAAAGCTGGATTAAAATTTGTTTTAATGTTTGGAGTCAGCAAAAAGAAAATTTGCACAGTGAAGAGGGAAGAAGCAGGAAGTCAACAGCGATGAGACAAGTATTTGCAGCCACTCTTTTCTTCAAATCGACTGCTGACTCTGAGCAGTCACGGAGAAGCTAAGTAGAACATTCAAGAATCTCATGGGGCCCTGGCTGGTTTGGCTCAGCGGATAGAGCGTCGGACTGCAGACTGAAGGGTCCTGGGTTTGATACCCATCAAGGGCACATGCCCGGGTTGTGGTCTCGGTCCCCGGTAGGGGGAGTGCAGGAGGCAGGCAATCAATGATTCTATCTCATGATTGATGTTTCTATCTCTCTCTCTCCCTCTCCCTTCCTCTCTGAAATCAATAAAAATGTGGAAGAAGAAGAGGAAGAATCTCATGGGGCCAGAAACGAGATCTTCCAAGGAGGAGAGGCCCCGTAAACATCGCCATCTTGTGGTTAGGACTGAAAATAGATGCGACGCAATCAGGCCAGAACCTGGGTTGTGAAATCCCTCAGTCCTTGATGGGATGGTAGTGACCCACCCGCTACAGACCACAGTAACGATGCCTGGAGGAGGAGAGTCCCACCCAGGGTCTACACTGTAGTCTGAATAATTTGTCATTGCGCTTCAGACGGGGTGGGATCCGGGAGACAGCCACCCAGAGAACTAGGAGAAGACAGGATTTATTAGAAAACCCAGACTTCAGACCATGTGCCAGGAGCCAGGAAGTGCTGTTCTGGAGCAAGAGGGAAGGCGAGAGACAGCGTCACGGAGCAGCTCACCTGCAGCACAGGTGCAGGTGGACGTGAGAGCCGGCCCATCCCGTCTCACAACCCCATCGCCTGTCTTCTTCCTGCTCTGCCTGGGGCTGCTCATCCAGCCTTAATGTTAATCGGGCCACAAGGTCTCCTCACGCTTCAGCAATGAGTCCCGGACTTCCCTGCCCCCACCTCCCACCCACAGGGGCTGTGAATCCTCTGGCCAGCACCCAGCTCTGACGGAGTCCTCATTGGCGTGCGCGCTTGACCACTGAGTACTCGTGGGAGCTGGTGGCCGCCTGGTCCCGAGGCTCCCGTGGCTTCAGCCCCTCAAAGGTGAGGTTGGCGTAGTAGAGCTCCTGCGGCTCCCCCGACAGAGGGCCCTTCTCCGCAGGTGGCGCTTGGTCTGGGGGCGCGTCCGGCGGGAGGTTTTTCTGGGACCCCTGAGTGAAGGGGAGAGAGGGGCGTCCGAGAGGCATGAGGCAGACATGGTCCCAGAGAAAAGTGGGGCTGAGGGGATGGGACAGCTTTTTCCTTCATCTTCTTATTGCACAGACACTTCTCACAGACTCCACTATTCGCTTGTGCATTTTAAAAATTTTTGTTTGTTTGTTTTTTGGGGTTTTGTTATTTTGGTGCAAAATGAAGGAGATTTGTTCAGGTTCCGGGGCCTAGGAGAATGGTGGCCTTTCATCTCGAAGACCATCCTCCTTCCTGCTCAAGCCTGCTGTTCTTTCCTTTTTAATTTTTTTTTAATTTTTTGAGTCTATTGCAGATGTTGACTAGACATATCAAGGGCCTACTGATCATATTTCATTCCCTCAGAAGCCCAGTGAGCATGATGCTTTCATTATCCCCATTTACAGATAGAGAAGCTGCGAGAAAGGGAGGTGAAGGCACAGGCCCACAATGGGAAGGAAGTAATAGTTTGGGGAGCTGGTTCTGGCAGCCTGTGCCTATCAGAGAGGTGAGGTGGGCTCAGTGGTCAGTGTGGCTGGGGCAGGAGGCTGACCATGGGTTTCAGGAAATGAAGGGGAAGTCAACTCCCAGCTGCCTGTCCAGCTGACCACAGAGGAGCGGGTGTGGGCTCCTTAATGGACATGCCCAGCCCCCCTACATGGCATGAGAAGACACCCCGTCACTCACCCAGGTGACTGTGCCCATCACAGGGTCTTCATCATTCGTGACCTTTGGCCTCCCGGCTGCTTGCCTCCTGCGGGCTTTCACTCTAAGGGGAAAAGTCAGCAGCCAGAATGGCTCAGGCCCAGGAAGGCAGCTGCCCCCACTCCCTGATGGACAACGGAGGCATCCAGGCCCTGAGGCCAGACTCAGACCCTCCTGACATGCAGGTGAGGGTCCCGTCCCCCTGGATGCCCAGGGGTTTGGCCAGGACTGAATGTGCATCACCGAGGCCCCTCTCACACGCAGAGACTGTGCACGAGTCATCATCAGTGTGATTCATGGCAGCCAAAACGTCCAAGCAACCCAATGTAGGAACGGGCAAATGAAATGTGCCCCATCCAAACCATGGAATACATCCTATATAATAAAAGGCTAAAATGCAAACCCACCAACAGCAGAACTCTGATCACTATGACACGCACTGACCACCAGGGGGCAGACACTCAACGCAGGAGCTGCCCTCTGGTGCTCAACAGGGCTCAGCTAGAGCCTTTCCCACCTCTGCAGCAGTTGGACATACCCTGAGGCATCCCAGACTGCGAGAGGGTGCAGGCTGGGCTGAGGGACACCCCCAGTGCACAAATGTCGTGCACCAAGCCTCTAGTTTGTAAATAAAAAGCAATGCAGTGCTGACACATGAACCTTGAAAATCTCAGGCTACATGAAAGAAGTCGGTCACAGTAAACATGTATTTTATCATGGCATTTCTATGAAATGTCAGAATGGGCAAATCTAGAGAAACAGGACATACTGGTTGCCTGGGGCTGGGGGAGGATGGAGGCATGAGGACAATACAGGGATGTGGAGTTTCTCTCTCTCTCTTTTCTTTTCTTTTTTTCAGACAAATAAGGTTTTAAACTTGACCGTGGTGATGGGTGCACAGCTGTGTGACTGAAGTAAAAGCCATTGAATCGGACACTTCAAAGACATCGGACTTTTACCTCAATAAAGCTATTACCCCAACGCCTGCCACCCACCCAGCCTCCCCTCTGGATAAGCTTGTGTGGGTGAAATTCTGTGACCTCTTTCAAACCCCTAGGACCCGGCTCCCTGCCCCAGAGGCTCACATGCAAAAGAAGATGAGACACACGCACAGGGACAGCAGGGCCATGGCACCAGCACCTCCGAGAGCCGCAGGAACCGCTCCCGCCTGGGGCACGGCCTTCCCTGCAGAGGAGAGGGGGGTGAGACACCCACGCCCGGGCCTCGGTCTCTCCTCTTCCCCCTCCTCCCAGCACCCGCTGTCGGTTCAGTTCAACCAGAGCCCAACTGAGATCAGTGGATCAGCCTCCACCTGTGAACCAGGAGATCCCGGTTCGGTTCCATCCCTGGTCAAGGGCACACGCCCAGGTTGCAGGGTCCATCTCCTCCCTGTAGGGGGCGTGCGGGAGGCAGCCGATCAATGACTCTCTCTCCTCATTGATGTTTCTATCTCTCCCTCCCTCTCCTTTTCTGAAATCAATCAAAATATTTTTTTGGGGGGGACGACAAGAGATGGAGGGTCCTGTCTTAGCAATCCCCCCTGTCCCCGCGCAGCCCCCACCCTCAGCCCCACCCTCTCTCTGATCCACTCCTTTCTCTGTGGCCTCTGCCCCCAGCAGGCCCTGACCTGGCAGCAGCAGGACAGAGGCGCTCTGGGCCCCGTGCACATTCCAGGCCTCGCAGCTGAGTCTGAGGTCAGGACTGAGCCCCTCCTTGAGGCTCAGGGAGCTGTTGGTCCAGGGCCCCTCTGAGCTGGAGCTGACCACGTGGGACGCGTTGCCATGGTTCCCCTCCAGCAGCCCCGCCCCCAGCCGCCAGCGCAGGGAGGGGGCAGGCTGGGCCCTGGAGGAGCAGCTGCAGTGCAGACCCTGGTCCTCCCAGGAGCAGGAGGGTCCCAGCAGCTGCGGGGGGTCTGTGGGGAGCGAGGAGATGGGTCAGCGGTGCCTCTAATCTCCCCAGAACCCAGCTTTCCTGCCCCCCGGGGTCTCCCCACTCACAGACCACGGTGAGGCTGAGAGAGACGCTGTGGGAGCCCAGCGGGTGCCGAGCTTGGCAGGTGAACTCTCCTTCCTGTGCAGGCCCCACGCGAGGCAGCTCCAGGATCGCGGTGCTGGAGAGGGGGGTGGCGTTCAGGCCTGGGGACCCCCGGAACCAGCTCAGCTCGGCAGGGGGGTTGCTGTCAGCCACACAGAGCAGCCTCAGGGCCTCTCCCTCCAGGATGGAAAGGGAAGTGGTTTGCAGATTCTTAAAGGCTTTGGGGAGAATGGTTATGAGGGAGGGAGGGAGGGAGGGAGGGAGGGAGGGAGAGAGAGAGAGAGAGAGAGAGAGAGAGAGAGAGAGAGAGAGAGAGAGAGATGAGTGGAACACAGATGCAGGCACCCACCCACCAGAGGTGAGGGACTCGGGGTGCTGACTTTCATCTTTGCCCTTCCCACGTCTCATCCCATTCAAACTCCTGCTCCCCCCTCTGCCCCACCAGGGCCGGGGGGCAGGTCCCAGCCCAGAGAGGAGGGGTTCTTTCCTACCTGTGTCCTTTCTGAAGGAGACGCCTATGGTGAGGTTCCCTGGGGCATCTGGGATAGAAAGACAGGGCCCCACTTCAGATGGAAGTCACCCCAATAACTCAGAGGGGCATTGGGAACCGGGAATGGGGGGAGCTCTCTTCTGGCCCCCTCCCCACCTACACGCAGATCCATACCCGGGTGTTCTCAGGATAGCTCTGCCTCCTGCACACACACACACACACACACACACACACACACACACACACTCACACATACACACAGTCACACACTCACACACACACGCCACTCCAGTGTCCCACGGACCCAGCCCCCCCTCCAACACTCACAGGAGACATTGAGCCGGATGGTTCTCTGTGTGGCCACCAAAGATCCTTGGAGTTTCACCTGACAGGTGAGGCTGGTGCCATGGTTCCAGGGCCTCGGGGTGAAGGTGAGCACCGAGGAGCGGGTAGTCTGGGGGCCCAGCATGTCTCCAGGGGCTCCCGCCGAGGAGAAGGTAAGAGGTCGTCCCCCTTCGCAGGCCCCTGGCAGGCTGCAGGCCAGCTGTGTGGGGCGGCCGGACTCCAGGGGCTCCCTTATCCAGATGTGGGGTTTCTCTGTCAGGGCTGCAGGGGAGAAAGGCAGGTGCCTGGGCTCCAGGGGTGGGGACTCAGAGTGGGACCCTGAGAGAGGCCCTGCCTCGGGCTGAGCTCACCCAGGCCATGTGTCCCTTCAAACCACCCAGCGCCCAAGACCTGGATCAGGGAGTGTCCAGTGTCCTATTCCTGCTCTAAGATGGGGGTCCCCTGTCCCTGATCCTCTCCTAGGGCCCCTGCCTGACCTGTCACCTGCAAATCCAGCATCTTCTCTAGGTAACTATATCCCACAAGATCTCTCTCCATTCGTAAATAGTAGCGTCCTGAGTCACTCTTCCTGGCGTCTCTGATGTTCAGGGAACAGTTGTTGGTCGTGGGGTCCGTGAGGAGGAATCGGCCTCGGGTGTCTCTCCTCACTGTTTTATTCCGGTTGCTCGAGGCCACAGGAGCAGCATACTTTATGTTGTCCCTCTGTCGGTACCAGTAGGTGTAGAGTTCACTAGAGGAAGACCACGAACTCCACGGGTAGGAGAAGGAGCAGGGCACGTGGACACACAGACCCTCCTGCACCGTCACCAATTTCTGCACTTGGAGCTCATAGCCTGGATGCTGCTGCTGCAGGGACCCTGGGGGAGGGGGACACAGAAGCTCAGATGCAACTCCCGCTCTTCCCCCACCTGTCCTGCCCCCCTCCCTCAGCCACTCACCCCCCCACAGCAGGGGCAGCAGCAGCAGGGGCACCATGTCTGCCTCTGGCAGCGCAGTGAGTCCAGCACCCTGTGTCAGGGAGGGAAGTGCACAGCTCTGGGGTGGGGCCTAGGACACCCCAACAGGAAGCCCTGGGGGAGAGACTGGGGTCAGGCTGGAAGGGGAACTTGGCCTCCACAGGAGTTGGGGGCGGTGCCTGAGAAATCTTTCTGTCTCCCCTCTCCCATCCCCCCCATGACCCTGCAGGCAAATGTCCTGAGGCCCTGGGAGGCTGAGTGGCTTGTCCAGAAAGTGACCCCCTTACAGAGGATGTGTCAGTGGGGAGGGAGGTCGCCCAGGGCCCATCACACTCAGAGCTGGTCCTGGGGACTCCGGGGGTGAGGGGGTGGGGACCTGCCCTCCAGCTGAAACTATGGAACATTCTGGAAAAAGATCATTTTAATATTTTTTTAGACCAAGTGGGAGCAAAAGAGAGAGAGGAATTTAGACCCAAGTCCAGCGGAGGGTGGAAACCAGGGGCAAAGCTGAGTGGTAAAGGCCTGGACTCTGAGGGCTTCTTGGGGACGTGGGACGCACCTGTGTTGGCTCGAGGGTCTGAGGGTCTGAGGGACAGCGAGGGCGCACAAGCCCCATCGGAAACGGACGCCCCATTTGGCGGGACCTCAGCACAGCAGCATCATTGCGCCTGAAAGCTCATGAAAACCCACCTTCCTGGCCCCTCATCGCTGGGTCCCTGTCAGAGCCCACCAAGGCTGATGGGAAGTGTTCCCTTTCTGCTCCATCTGTGTCCCAACCCGGGCATCACAAACCCGGACATTACATTCCCGCTGTGGGAGCACATAGTGGGGCTTCTCTGTGCCTCGCTGGCCCTTGACTGATGGAATCTCATGCGAGGAACTAGTGAGCGCAGGAGGATGTCAAAGGCCTTCAGGATAACATCACAGTCAGCTAGGGATGCAGGAGGCTCCCCTGGCGGGATAGGGGGTGAGATCAGCAAGCCCCACGCCTAACAAAGCAGCACTGGGTCCGAGTCCAGCAAGGCAAGAGCAATAACTAAAAGCTATGGAAATTCAAAAGAAAATAAAGCTGACTTTCTCCATCAAGGAAATGTGCTTGAGAAGAGAGTCAGCAAGGTTTCTAGAGACAAAATCAAACTGCAAAACTCAAATGCATCCATATAGCACAGTGACCAACGAAAAACAGGACGGTATAAAAGATGTCATGGACACATCAAAACTTACGATGTTCCTGGAACATTCAGAGATGCACATCACAAAAATATGGTATGCACTTCCTCATTGGAGGAAATGATACATCTGTCTGGGAGGAATATACAGGTGGAAATAGATAGCCCTGGCCGGATGGCTCTGTTGGTGGAAGCATCCTGCCTACAGCACATTGGTTGCAGGTTTATTCCAGGTCAGGGCACATACCTCGTGTCCATACCAGCTCAGAGCAAGTATGGGAGGCAACAAATTTATGTTTCTCTCCTCTCTCTCTCTCTCTCTCTCTCTCTCTCTCTCTCTCTCTCTCTCTGTCTCTCTCTCTCTCTCTCGTTACAAGGTATAGACAGAAATACAGAAGAAGAAATTTCCCCATAAGCTGTGCCAGGTAAGATGGGCCTCAGGGACAGAGAAGGGGCCAGGCTGACTCACCTCAGAGCACAAGGCCCATCCTAAAGCAGCCCACACGAAAGCACTGGGGGAAGGAAGCAACCATTTTCACATTCAAGAGGGGCCACAGAATTCATCCCAGAGAGAACTCTGTGTGTGTGTGTGTGTGTGTGTGTGTGTGTGTGTGTGTGTGCACGATTTACAAATAAACTAATGCCAAAACTTTTGTGGAGGTGAGACTCACATGACATAAAATTTCTAATGCTAGCTTTGGGTGTGTGACCTTCGGAGCTGCTTATCACTACACTTCCCCCATCACTTTCTGTGCCGCGGGCCTACTATGCGCCTTCCCCATACCTCCCTGTCCGTGTAGGAATCTGATGTCGGGTTTTGAATATGAATGCCCTGATGCACCAAGCGGAACTCACACAGGCCTAAGGAGTTCTATCATGGTTCTGTAGGGTTGCTGATGTTGCGTATGTTTTCATGACATTGTCGGCCATTTGTAATCATCTTTGGAGAAATGTCTAGTCAAGGTTTAGGTCATTCTTCAATTCTGTTACTTGGGTTTCCTATGTTGTCTTGTGTGAGTTTGTAATAGATGCTGCATATTAACTCCTTAACAGATACAGCTTCTCTCCCATCCTGGAGTCTGGAGTCTGGTGAGAGAGTCCTCTTGTGCTCAGGGTTTGAAGTTGGTACAGTCCCACTTGTCTATGTTTGCTTTCCTTGTCTGCGCTTTCAATGTAAATATGCAGGAAATCGTTGCAAAATCCAATGTGCTGGGATTCCCCCCCTATGTTTCGCTCTAAGAATTTATAGTGGATGGTATTATATTTAGGTCTTTAATACATTTTTGCACAGAGGAAAGTGATTCTGTGATGGAAACCCAGAACTGCATGAGAGGAACAACTGTGAGGGGTATTTTTCAAAATAGTCATTGTTTTCCTGCAGTGCGTTCTCACAGTGGAACCTAAAGACGCTGAATTTACAGAAAGAGAGGAGAACGCTGATGCAGGGACTGGGGGTGGGGGAATGGGGAGATGTTGGTCAAGGGTAACTTTCAGCTACAAGAGGAACAATTCCGGGGGATGTGCTGGACAGCATGGCAAGTACAATTAACAGGAATGTATTGTATCCCTGAAAGTGGTTATGGTTACATATCACTCCTGTTATAACCATAAAAATTATAACTATATGAGAGGATGGAAGTGTTGATGAACCTTATTGTGGTAATCACTTCACTATATAGGTGCATCAAATATGCACATTGCATATCTTAAACTTGCATGCATTCTATATCAAAAATATCTCAGTTAATCTGGAAATAAAATAATTGTTTACATAATTATTAATGTTCTCAAAAGTTTATCAAATTTATAGCTGTAAGCTATAGGCAATACCAATACAAAATGGTGAGAGTATAGGTGGATGTGTCTTAAATGTTGAAATATTTTATTATTCAAGAATAGATATAGTCCCGCCGGTGTGGCTGAGGGGGTGAGCATCAATCTATGAACCAAGAGATCAGGGTTCGACTCCCGGTCAGGGCACATGCCTGGGTGACAGGCTTCATCCCCAGTAGTGGACGTGGAGGAAACAGGCGATCAATGACTCTCTCCTCATTGATATTTCTATCGCCCTCTATCCCTCCCAATTCCTCTCAGAAATCAACAAAAATATTTTAAAAGATAAGAAGAGATATAAATACCAATTGAAGAATAAGTACAAGGAATAAACAAAATCCCTCACTTGAAACAGGTCTAACAACAGCAACAACAACAAGAGGAGATCCAGACATAACTGGACTCAAGAAACTCCAACCGACATAAATAGTAAAATCAGTGGTCATGTGATATCATAGAAACGTTCTCACTTATGATTAAATGCTGGGATGTGTTATGACAATAATTCTGAGGTTGGCGTCTATGCACAGGGAGAAGAGAGCTGCTCCTAACTCTACTGCGTATCAGCACCTACAGATGGGAGACCCGAAGCTCAGGTGGTGACCAGGTAACTCCTGGGCAAGGGGAGGATAAGGTGCCAACTTCAGTCCGTCTCTGGGCCTGAGAATGGAGAGAGGGGAGCAGGGGGTGGGGGGATGTGGGCAGAACCAACAGAGAGAAAGTAAGAGGCGGGAGGAGGGGACAAGTCAAATGGGAGAAGCACAGGCAGAAACAAGGGGCCGTCAGTGGGTGTGTATTATTGTTTATTTCTGTATCTTAGGATGTTTTGAGCCATTAAACAGGTTGGAAGCCAAGGAGACACAGGGCCTCCCAGGGCGGCCCATTCTCAGAGACGGCAAAGAATTTCAGATGCAAACCAGCCCATCCTGAGCCCATATTCCCAGCCTCCCCACCTGCCCCAAATCACCCAGGACCTGGGACCAGACACATGCAGACCACGCCCACAGGCCCAACCCCAGACTGACACACACCAGCTGGTCCTGAACGGCTCACCCTGCCCTGCCTGCGTTTCCCATGGAACCCAAACAAGGCCTTCGCTAGGCGGCCCTGCACCTGCATCTGCTTCCTGAGGAAATCGGGGGCTTCCCGGGCACAGCGGCCCCTCCTCTCAGGAGGTGAGAGGAGGAAAAGCCTTCTCTCCATGGCACTGACTCCCCTTGGCGTCACTCAGTCACTTCCACACCCTGAGACCCCAGGGGCACATTGGAGGCAGGTGAGTCAAGAGCTTCCAGGAAGAAGGTGACATTGACGTCCCAGGACGGTCCCTCTCGCCTGGTGTCCGCACCTCAGTCCCATCCTGAGAGGAAGGAGGATCCATCAGGAGCTCTGCCTCCTGCTCCGGGGGCCTCCACACCTGCGGGGCCCACACAGGTGTCAGCTCAGAGACGCGGCCACTTTCGCTCTAACTCCAGGCAGAGCCGGACAGCTCGGCCCCACCTGGACCTCAGGGCCAATCCCTGACCTTCCCCGGGAGGGACAGACCTGCTCACCTGGTGTAGTAGAGCCAGGTGAGGACGTAGGTGAGGAGGAAGCCAGCCCCCATGAGGGCCCCTCTGATCAGGGTGAGGATCAGGGGCCAGGAGCCCTGCTGCTCCTCGGTCACACATCGGCAGGAGTGAGGGCTGCCTGGGGATGTCGGGAGAAAGGTGAAGTTTGTCTAGCTGTCAGTCCACCCACAGCCCAACACCTGACCAGGCGGCCGCCCCACACCTGTCCTGAAACTCACTCTGCACAGAGAGGCTGAAGGAGACGTGCTGGGAGCCCAGCGGGTGCTGAGCCCGGCAGGTGAACTCCCCTCCGTCTCCCGCCCCCACGTGGGGCAGCTCCAGGACTCCGGGTGCTGAGGGCTGGGGCAGGTTCAGGGCTCTCCCCTCCTGGGACCAGCTCAGCGTGGCAGGGGGGTTGCTGTCAGCCTCGCAGAGCAGGAGCAGGGACTGGCCCTCCAGGACAGGCAGGGATGTGTGGTTGCTCAGGGTCTTCATAGCTGGGAGAGGAACACAGAAGGTGGCTCAAGAGCCAGGGACCCTGCTGGTCAGGC